CTTCTTTTCAAGGCTTTCAGCCTAGGCTTTGCTGCACACAGGTTAGGTCTGAGGCAGAGAGTAGTTGTGTTTGATGGATGACGCAGACACACACTGCAAATCATGGTTTAGTCATGCCCAGTGCGTCTGAGCAGCTACTGGGGGAATAATAACATTTTAAATTTAACAGATTATATTATATTTAATATTAGTTGTGTATCTAATAAATAGATGAATAGTTCATAAGAATAAGTCTTAAACCACTGATTATCCACACTAAATCCAAGCACTCATTTTAGCCTGAAACTTTAGAGCATATTTCCCTAGACATGAGGAATCAATCACAAGACATCCTGGAAAGGTGATGAACTTGCTTTGTGCTGCAGAGGTAATGGGAAACAGTCAGCATGCACGCAATGGATACCTTGACTGAAAGCAAAGGTGACTGCTACCAAGCAACTATGTGCAGGACAAAATGGAAGTGGGAAAGGTATTATTTATATTTAAAGTGAAAAATAAAAGTAACCACATTGTTTTATCCGATGAGATATCTTTGTGTAATGATTTAGCCTTAAACTTACTTACGAGAATGCAAAAAATGATCAAAATGAGAAAAATATCAAAGATTTTAGCCATATTAAAGTTCTGTTTTAAACGAATCAGCATTCTCCCTTCCCATCCTTCTACAGACATGATCTGTTCAATGCTTAAATAGTTCCCCCCCTCCCTCAAGCTTTCCCATCATTTATCATTATGAAAGAAAGTAAACGGGTTAGAAGCAGGAAAAACTTCCTCTGGGATTTCTGTCCAGCGTCACAGAGAAAGACTGCATTTACACTTAGTGCTAGAAGTGAGCACATGCCTGTCACACAGACTTTTGAATGGATGACCCTTAGTATTTCTACATTTCTTCATTTGGAACATGCAAGGAGAGAGGGGGTTTAACTCTTTGTATAAATGTTGCCTAAGCACTTCAAAGCTGGGAGGTGTTAATGCAAGCAGACTGCAAGGATGTGCATAGAAAAGCAAAAGGGCAAATCTCAGCCTTCAACAAAAACTGCACATTTAGAGAGAGGCAAGTGAGTGCCCCTATGGATCATCTGACCATTTGCCCCAGTGTGACACAGGTGGGAAGAAGCAGGATTGGCACTGATGGAGGAACGTGTGGAGCATGCTGTGTTTCCTGTTCCCAAGATGGTGCACAAGGAAGAGCTGGTCCTGCAAGCTGTGCAATTAACTCAAAAGATTTCGAAAACAGCTTTAAATGGTTGTCTAAGAATTCCAATGAAGTTCAAAATTTCCAGTCCTAATATACTCAGCAATGATTCAGCTTACAACCATTAGTAAACTACTTAATTTTTGCTTTGTGTCTGTCATGCACAAAATGAAAATAATCTTTACTCACCTCTGCAAAGCAGTTAATTAGATTGCCCCAAGATCAATATTCATACTAAAGACAGAAAAGAATGGAAGCAGGAAGTCAACAGCAAGTAAATAAACACAAGGAAACGGTGAACTTGAAAATGAAGAAGAGGAGAGAGAGGGAGAAAATGGTAACTAGAAAATAAAAATATTCTTCTTGACAAAGAGCAAAAGCAACTGGCAGCATGCAAACAAGCCTTCTGAGGATCTGAGTTTTGATGTGGAACACATGCACTTTTCTTTAATTTCAAAATGACAGGGTATTCTCCTACCACATACACTGCATGCCCCATTCTGAAAGCCTAATGTAATAATAATTCTTCACTTGGCTCTAATGCTATGCTCAGATGTTTCTTTGGAAATATTTTCTTTTTTGTTGTTTCTTAGTGCAGACTGAGATTCTCTGTTTGGCAATGGTTTTCCATAGCCCAGCTTCTTTTGTGTCTTTCCCAGTTTTCCTTTCCACAGATACTGCAGCGCATCAATTTGATGAATCATGCTTTCTTCTAATAAAATATTAACTTAATCCAATGCCAAAGGCCAGATTTCTATAATAGAGATTCAGAATGAGTAATAATTACAGTAAAAAGAATTTCTGCTGTGTATTTTCTTTTCCTCTGTTTTTGAGGGTCAGAGACTTCCCAAGTTATTATTCTCATATAAGAGGTACCTTTTCAGCTGGAGCCCATTAGCTCAGCAGGGCAATGGATTGCCTTCGGCCATTCCTCCTGGGCTCCATTGCTACTGGCCAGTGTTCTCTAAGCGCTCAGCTTCTTTACAGAGCAGCATGGCTGAGCCTAGCTTTCTGGCAACCCCCTTGAAGAGCTTGGGTTTAAGTCTGTGATTACTGGCTGTGAGTATCCATTACCCAAATATCTTCAGTAAAGGACTACAAGTCAGTAGGCAGTTCAGTAAGGCTTTGGCATATAAAAGTTGTTATAACTTACCAACAGGAATACAAGAGAAGATTTGCTTCCTGCAACCCACCATGTCAAGGAGCCAAACAAAACTCATTTGTTCTGGTTGTCTGTGCAATAAGCTTTGTATATCTCACTGCCTAAATAGGCAAGATCTGAAGATCTTCAGGGTATCAGCAATGGCTTTCATGTGTTGGTGCAATGCCTCACACAGAGGAACCGCTGGGAACTACCAATATAAAGTGATAATAATGGCTGTCCACACATTTCATTTAATAGGATGCATTCCTTTTTGCAGTATTACTGAAAATCACTAAAATATAAATGAAATAAGAACCGTTCTTTTACTTACTGCTAATGGCAGCCAGTCATACTAACCTTGATAGCTACATATAGTGACATTCAAGAAATATTTTAAAATACACTGTGGCAAAATACTACACTATAAATGAGACTTCTGGAGATGTTACCTAAATTAGTCTTGCCTTTGTGATATTTAATCATAATAATAAAAGTTAGAGTGCTTTTGCCTTTCCATCAGAAACTGCTCTTACGTGTTTTGCTAGCCCCACTCTCTACTGGCAGCGTGGTGTCGTGGTGTATAATTTCATAGACACAAAGACACTTCACTACCATAGCTCTCATTATTAAACAATATATTTTAATTGTCACCACCTTTCTCATATAGACATGGTCCAAATCTATCCTTATTGGCTTCAACTGAGCTCCACAAGGGATGGATTTGGCTCAATATATATAAAAATACAGCAAGTCAAGTCATAAAAAGAAATGTTTGGGTTTCTTTTTTTATAGCAGCCAATGCTTTTTGCCATAAGAACGCACATGCCTGGCCAGTAAAATCCCATGATAAAGGACTAAAGCGTTTAAGACTTCATATGCAGAATAGTCCGTGGTGTTTAATTACAATAGCAAAAGATGCCGTGTTATAAAAGCATTTCTTACCTGGAGAAGGGATCCATGCTCTCCAATGAAGCTTAATTACCCAAAGCATGCTGAGTTTTTCCCTCCTGGCAATAACCTCTAACACCAATAACTCTGCTGTTTCTTTTGACATCTGAATAGCTGAATATTGTTAATTTTTGTTCTAATTTCCTTATTTGGATTATAGCCTTCCACAGTTTTACTTCCGAGGAAAGATTTGAACATTGTAAGAGCTTCATTCCTGGGACATTCCTCTTTCTTTCTCCCACTTTTCCTCACAGAATTTCATGCTCTCAGCCCTGTTCTGGCACTCCTGCTTCCCCATCTCTTTACGCCTTCCCAGCATACTTGGCTCCAGATGTAGATTTATGCATTTCCCCTCTTGCAACTCTTTCCAGCTCCACTAGAAAGGTTTCAGCTTCATCACAGACCCAGAATATCCAAATTTCTGCAGCAAGAATTTACTTAGAAGCACTAAAGAAAACTGCTTGCCTGCCTGTATGTCTCAAGCACTCTGGAGTCCTTTGTTTTACAGCTCTCACAAACACACAAACGTGCACAGGGCAGTAACGCTCTGAACTGAGCAGCGGAGCTTATAAGGAGTCATGTTTTTCTTGTGCAAAAAAACCCCACATCCAACTGATATTGTTTTGGGGAAACTGAGTCTTCATTATTTATTAAGTTATATTAGATTTATAGCTGAGATTTGTGCCCAACTTTTATTAATTCATAAGGAGAAGACTATTTTTATATAGAAAACCTGCTTTCTTCAGGGCGGGGATAGAACCTCTCCCTTGGAAAATGCTGTGATATTGAGCCATGATTTAGAATCATCACCTGTATTATCCTCCTCATCCTCACGCCTGCATCCTCAGCTTTTGATGAAGTCAATTTCCTGAGTGCATGTGAAAGCCTGTGGCTGCAGCCTGGAACAATCCTACCTCAGTGCTTCCCTTGTGTTGTTGATCCTTTAATTTCCTCCAGCCGACTCCTGCAGGGGACTAGCTCGAAGTTTTATGCTACTCTTTTGGACTAATCATTTACGACTGACTTAAAAAAAAAAATTAAAAAAAATCACTCACATATAGCTACTGCTAGATAGAAGGGTCACTAATTGGGATGTACTTCTAGCCAAATGGCAACAGAGGTTTAACAGCAGTTCCCAGGAACCTAAAAATTGCGCCCAAAGCTTTATAACCAGACCAGTTATTTAGAATTTTATTCAGAAATTATGGTTGCAATCTATAAAATACCTCTGCAGTGCAAGTTTTCACACCTTTAAAAGCTAGGCTAGCAGAAAGTCATATAAAACTGATTAATAGAAGAAATCATAATATTAAGAGAAAGATCTCCTATTCCGCCTGGCTATGGGAGTTACACACAGGGTTCTCATCTGTGTCAAATTCTGTGTAAAAAACAAAAAATCTAAGAGGACTTGAAATTATAGATCTGAAAGAAAAATTAGAAGATTAAAAATATGTGCCTTAGGGGTTAACTGCTGGCTAATGACAGAACAGGAAACAAGACAAAATACAGAAGGACCGCACGCTCATTTATCCAAGATTATCGATGTTAATGCACAGTAAAATGGAGATCAAAACAGTAACTCTACTGTATGTGAAAAGCAATATTCATTAAACATTTCTTTTGTGAAATTTACTAAATTCCAGCTTAAAGTTGAGAATTTGATGCTCATCTCTCGATCAACATCGCTTTTACTTTTTTTTTTTTTTTTTTTTAAATAATGTTAACTACATTATCACGGATGCTGTTGTTTTAAACATGCTGTTTGTAACTAGAGCATCTTTTGTGAGGTATCCAGACAAGGACTACCATGACAACAGTGATCCAGGAGTAAATACACAGGCATGAATGGTCAACTCTACTTCTTGTTTTTGTATCTGCGTACATTACAGGTGATAAAATTGTTCTTGAATTGAAGGATAGATTTATATCGTTTTGATGCATTATAAACACCAGGTTCCTTACTTCAAGTGAAAGCAAAGTCACACTATGTTTTGGAGAACAGAACTGGGTTCTGTTGCTATTTCTGGCTGCATTTGGCTCAGATTCACTTATGCAGTGTGGGCAGGAGCTGGTAATTCAACCCTTTCACATACTCATGATAAAAATTCAAGATTCAATTAAAAAATTATTCTGGCGTACTAAGTCAAATGTGTTTCAAACTACTCTAGGAAACAGAAAGAAGGAGATAGAAAGTCTGAAGTGGCCATTTAAATGAATGGTTATGTATGGCAGAAACAGAAAAATCTCGAGCAGCAGCCGATTTATACGCTGCTAATTCCTTCCTTAGACGATCAGACTTAGGCTGGTCTGATTTCAGCAGGAAAATCTCTGCATAGAGATCAACACTGGTCTCAAGCATAAGATCCTAATTATTTGAAAGGCATTTGTTTTCATAGCTTTTTTTTTTTATGTGTCCAAGTCGATGGCATTTTAATGCCTTATTAAATGGTTGTTTTACAGCAGCCCGTCTGTTCAGTCTCTGTGCCCATGTCTGTACTTTGTGCTGCAAGATTTCACCTTTCATGCTGGCCAAAAAATATTTTCCAAATTCCCTATAAAAGTTTTCGATATTTCCTAAGACAAATAGAGTATTTTTTTTTTTTTTACATACTCTAAAATGTCATTGATATGGTAGATATGATATGTGCACCTCTCCAATTACGGTGTGCTTGCAAAAAGGTAAAGGTTTGTGTTCATTACAGAGATACTCTCTCTAGCTTGGGCCCAGCTTTATGTGATTTTTTTTTAATTATATAAACAAATGCAAATGTTTTCATTTCTGTTTTTCTTTAATTCAGTTTAAATCCCAGCAATACAAAATATGTGAACATTCCCCTATGTGTTTTTAGCCCAGACATTGCCACGTGGGGTCTCTAAAAGCACAAGAAGTAAAAAATGAACCGATTCAAAACCTACCTGAAATAAAATGAAACTGAAGAGAATTTTTTGTATCAAATTACCATCACGCATATGTGAGGTGAACAAACACTCAAATGTGAAAAAGAAGGTAAATTTTAAAATGGTATATTTACTAACATGCTGACAACAGTTCCAGCAAAATATTCCTGTTAAACACATGGCGAAACCCTTTGCTTTGTTGAGGGCAAATGGCAGAACCCCTACTGACTTCAGTGGGGCCAGAATTTGTAACCAGGTAGCTCTTTCCCACCACTCACAGCAAAGATTGTACCACCTCTCCGCTTACCCCAGAGTATCTTTATGGAGTTAGCATGTAATAACAAAATCCTTTACTTATCTGTCTCATTAGTCCAGATGAATCTGTGGTAGAGATCAGCAAAATCTTTTAAGATAAAGTATAATCTGAATTGCCTGTTTTCCGTTTTTGAGGGTTCTGTAGCAGTAAGCAATAACGAACAGACGACGGGAGCAGCCAAACCTACAAAAGAAATAGTATTTTAAGAGTACTGTACCTAAGGGGAAAAAAAGGTTTGCCTTTGTACATAAAGAGCTCTATTCATTAAAAGAAGTTTTTACAAATGTGGTTATTTCAAATAGTCAAAAAGTGTGAAATACACTTAAAATGAGTAACATTTGTGGGCTTTCCTATGGTTTAAATATGTGCCATACTAATAAAGCTCTCCTCACACCTCTTCCTCAATCATGGTCTTCGGCCTCATTCTGCAAGGTGGTTTGCTTCAAGGGAGCTCAGCACTTTGCTGGAATGGAGCAGTGGCTGTTTAAGTCCCTGCTCTGCAAAGATGAGCAGAGTTTACAGGGATCCAGAAGAAATCACCCATACCTGACATCCAGCATGGCACACACCACAGTGCCCAGCACTGAGCCCATCAAGAGCGCCGTCACACTGGAGAGCTAAGCAAGCACAATAAAGCTGAAATGAGAATGGAGGTGGAGGCACACAAATCTGAAGCCCTACAGCCCCCACCGGGTCAATTCTTAAAGCACTGATTGCTTTCTGGAAGCAGAATCCAAGCACATCCAAGCACAGCCAGACCGGAGACCCCAACACTGGCACAAATAACAGCTGAGCCTACTGTATAACGGCAGAGCCTTGCTTTTGCAGGAGGCCTTCCCATGTCCCATCAGTTTTTTTGTCCTTCCCACTCTTGGTTTTAAAAGGGACTTGGCACTTATGCTGTATACAAAGCGTATATCAACTGCTTGCACATGGAACAAAACTGCTTCATGTGTCATTAAATGTTTCCTCTGCTGATACTGGTCAGTGTTGTTGGACAACCCATAGTAACTTTGCAGTGCTACTGATTTAGACTCAAGCTCATTCAGCTGAGGTTTAACAAAGTGATGAAAATCTTTAGAGAACAGATTTTCCAGTATGTGATTCCTCCTGCTGTGTGAAGAAAGCTTTAAATAGCTTTGCAATGAAACAACCACATTAAAATAAGATTACTCAGAAGTACTTTTTTTGCTTTTGTCCTCTCGGTTCTCAGCTCCCTATGATGTCCAACACTTCAGATAGCTGTTTTTAAAAGAAATGCTCTCAAAACTATGACCTTATTTGCCTCTCCTTCCAGATCTCTGCTATCACGCTCTATTGCTGCACGTCAAGGAACTGAGTGAAACACAATGTGACAGCTCTATGATGGTCCAAGTATGAAAAACACGACATGCTTTGGAAAGTTTTGCTTTAGATACAATAAAAATTGAACCCGTTTGCAATAGCACAAAAAAAAACTTTCAAATTTTGATCTGTGTAGCAAGGAAATGATCAGTCTATTACTTAGTTCACACACAGAGACCCAAGAAACCATCACAATATTTTACAGATAGTTAGACATAAAAAGACATATGTGTCAGTCAATATCTATGCTTTACTAAGGCACAGATCTTCTTTGCTTCTCTACAACCAGAAAAAAGGAGAATTTAATGTCAAAATTCCTTATTGAACACTAACAAATTAAGCCCAAAACATTCAGCAAACTTCCTTTAGGAGGAAGTCATGAACAATAAGGCTTTATCTACTAATTTTCTAATATCTACTTATGCTTATCTATTAAAATACCCACAACTCTGTCCCATAGGAGGGGAGGGCACCTTTGCTCCCAGCCCAACGTCTGTCCCAGAGAAGACAGACATCCATCAGGGCAGTGTCTGTTGGATCCCTGTTGCCTGCCAGGCTCTGTCCAAGAAGTATAACCTTTTTCAAAGAGACGGCAGTGAAAATGTTCTACAGGTTTAACCACTATCAGATGTTCTTTGAGTGGAATATTAATTTCTCTCCTGAGAACGTAAACGTTTTGTTGTAATAAGCCACTATCCTCTCAAGTCCTTTGATTTGCTCTGTCAGTGCTGCCCCCATCACAGCATCTGTGTCCAGCCTGGAAGGTGTCTGAAATGTGGGAGGCAGGAGTGGAAGCAGGAACATGGCTTTTTTCAAAGACTGAAGATGTTAAATCACACCATCATGGCCAGTGAAATGGTTTCCTTCTCACCAAATGCATGCAGTGGTTTTACAGCGTTAATAAAGCCACAAATAAGCTGTCTGAAATAGCAGTAATCTGTAAGAAAACCCCAAGCCTTTACCTGGCTGCCACTGTCTGGGGAGCTGGTTGGGGCTGTCCTGCCTCCATTTGCTTTTTGTCTGTGCAAACCATTCCCCGGCTGACTGCGGACTCATAATGAGTTACTTCTGCCTGCAATGATTCACTTGCCTTTGGGTTTGATTTCAGGTTGATGACTTTCAGCACATTACAGACCATTTGCCACTACATCAGGTCCTGTCTGAGTGTTTTCCTTCATACTGAGATATCATCTAGAGATAATGCAGAACAGGCATGCTGCACAATACCTGCTCCCCATCTTCTATGGCTCACAGGTGTGGAGCCAAAACACATCTTTTCAAACTGCAGTAGGTCCGGTCCTGCTCTGGAGGCTGCTCCCTCCCCTGTTGCTGTTATTGGCTTTGCAAGCTCTGGTCAGGCCACCATTTGACTTTAATCAGAACTCAAGTGAGGTCCAAAAATTGTTGAAAGCTCACTTATCCCATCCCCATTCATTTCCTTGATGCCCAGTAGCACTTCTTACCGCTTTGCTTTCGCTGAACAGCAAGGTGCGGGGTAATGGGCTGCTTTCCCTCAGCATCAATCTGTGGTAGACCACTGTGTGCAGGCTGTGTATTTATTGGATCCAGAGAACTGATTTTTAGCTGGAAAAAACTTTCAGGGAATCTAAAAAGTATGCCAAAGCCTTGACCGTGGCACAGTCATGCCTTTATCCCTGCTAACAGCAGCACTAATGGCAGCAGTGATCCAGTCTCAGCAGTCCCAGCAGAGCAGGGGGGTCCGGCATGGACCAGTGTAACTTGCAGTCAGTTCAGCATTTCAGTGTATTAGCATGGGAGATGATTAAGCTCTTCCTCAGACTTGCAAGGGCATGAGCAGCTAACACTTCTGCAAAGGCCCCTAAAATGAGATTTCCATTGCTCTGCCACAAGAAACTGCTGTACCAGGAAAATCTGTGCAGTCTGCAGACACTGCGCTTTACCTGGGCCACGTAATTAAAGAAAATTTCTGGAGATTTAATTTGTAAGGCAGCATTTCCAGCAGATTTAAAACTCTGTTACTAAGCATAATGAAATCCAAGTCCTTCCTTAGCTTATCCATCGTTTTAGCCACATTTCTTGCTCTGAAGTAGAGCTCTAATTTTCAAAACCAATTTTACCAATTTTGGGATGTGTCATGTCTCCCAGCAGTCACTGTCTCTGCTTGCAACCAATTTATCCTTTTTCAGTCTGCCTAGTCCAATAACTTCAGTTTGAGAAAGGGTACTTTATTCCATTCCATTTCACAGTTCCTCATATATATTCAAAAAGTAAACTGACCAAATCTAGAGAAAAGCTATGAGCTTTATCCTCATTCCTTTGGAGCTCAGCACTTTCAGCTTCATGTCTTCACATTTCCTGAACTGATTGAAGAACCTTCCCTAGACATTTCTGAGGCTCTGTCCTGGCCAGCCTCAGAACAGCTTTTATGGCCAATTTTTTCATAAGTCTAATATTTAACTGAACTACTTCCTTTAATTTTTCCACAGCTGCCAATTTTCCTTGTTTTACAAACCAAGATTATCACTTTTCCTAATTGTACAGTAAGGCCAGGGATCAGATTAGGATCGCCCCTTTTCATCGTTCATTTTATAAAGAGTACTTGAGTTACAGGATTTGGCTGCAAGGAATCCCAGTTTCTGTCCATCTTTCCAGTCATTCACTGGGGCTGGGAGTTGAATAGACCATATGTGCTTCTTACGAAGTCCACAGCTTGGAAGTAGGTGTTCTATTTTTTGAGCTGATTTATTGGTAAATTTCAAATTGCAAGTATATTTTCCTCCTGATTTCCTATCTCACGGAGATCATCAGCTCTCAATCTTTTTGTTAAGCTGTGGGTTTCAAAGGTGACCTAAAATTCTTTGATTTCATTACAAAATTGATATTTTAGCTTATATCTTCGTAAGTACTGGGCAGCTAGCTCCAGGCTAACCAAAATTCTTCCACTAAAATTTCCAGTGATGGCAACCAGTTTGTTGGACAAGACAGGGATCTTGTCAATTCATTTTTGGAGGTTTCTATGCAGCCTTACCATCTGGCCAGAGAATTCTGTAGATGGCCCTCACTTCTGAAGAGGACTTCCAGACATTTCAGATTCCTGTTGTAAATGTATTCACCCATCTTTGATTTCTGCAAGTCCTGCATAAAACAAGGTACTTGGGAAGGGGAAAAAAGAAAAGAGAAGCACCAATGTTTCAGATACTGGTGTTTAAAAACGTTGTCTGGATGTTCTGAATTAATATGGTGTTAGAAGCCGCCAAATGGCTGTATGCCAAGACTCAACCCAAGGTGTATTTTTATGGCAAAGCTATAAACCCACAAAATAAGTGCTTTATAATGGAAATTCTGACACACTTTTAATATTAAGAGCAGAAATATACTGGTTGTGGCAAGTAAGTATTTGACAGCTTTGGTACTCCCTTGTCAGCTGTTCTGCCTTAGCAAGTCCAGTTTGATGGTGGGATTCCTCCTTTATCTCATTGTGTTCCAGCCACATGGTTCTGGGGCCAATGGGCTGAGCTGCATTCATTCTGGAGCCTTTCAGTACCCTCTTCTGGGTGATTACAATGAAAAGCAACAGCTGGGATTCGAGAAGTACTGATAACTGCTGCATTCTGGAGCTCATGGCACTGACCAGGCTGCAGAGAGTGGCTTTCATCAGCCAAGGGACAAGAGGTTTCCTCTGACATTGTTCCTTTGGAGTGGCACTTGTCACCTGGTGACAAATTACTGTGGCTGGGAAGAAGGCTGAGCACAACGGCATTGCTTTCTGCTTGGAACTGACAGGCAGAAACCATCTTGGGATGCTCGTTGATATTCTATATAGGCTATGATATATAGGCTATGAACCAACCTACGCA